TGTCAGGCGCAGACGCAACCATGTGGGAGCACCACACACACACACACACACACACACACACACACACACACACACACACACACACACACACACACACACACACACACACACGCACGCACACACACACACACACACGCGCACACACGCACACACGCACACACACACATGCACACACGCACACACACAAACACATGCACACATGTACGCACATGTGTTGGTTGGGCAGGCGAAGGAGGTGGCTTTGCGAACGAGGTTGTGGTCGGCCTGGCTCCAGCCCAGCCTCTCTCCAACTGTTGGCCCACCGACATGCCCACACGCATAGCTCCAGACCCTGTCTGCATCGGAGCTGCTGAAATCGGAGGAGAGCAAGTGGATGCCCTGTCCTTCTGGACACGTGGCAAAGAACGCGCCTTTGTACTCGTTCACAGCCACAGACGCCTGGATCACGCTCGGCCTCAGTCCTATTTGTGCGTGTGTGTGCGTGTGTATGTGTGTGTGTGTGTGCGTGTACGTGTGTGTGTGTCTGTGTGAAACGTGTGCATTGGGTGATGTAATTGGCAAGTGGAGTTCATGATGGCCCATCCACACGCGAGAGACAAATGCAAGCGCGTCGCAACACACACACACACACACGCACACACACACACACACACACACACACACACACACACACACACCACTTACGGGTGCATTCGAGGCCGTTGGAAGTTAGAACGAAGTTGTTGCTCACATCGCATTCAACCTACATTGTATGGAAAACAAGCATGTATCAGTGAAAAGAGCCAACGAAAGGGGCGTATGGCACTAACATGAGGACTGGCAACAGCAAGCAATGGGTCGTGATACAAGCAGGAAAGAGTGCATTCGACTCTCCAGACAACACGATACCTTGCACGTGATGAATTTGTAGATTCGATCATAGTTTGTTGGCTGCGAGAGCATGCCTGCGCAAGTATGTTGGGGTGGGGGGGTCCTGGGGTCAAGGAACACACAAAAGGAACACCACACGCGCAAACACACATACACACACGCACATACGCAGGCACGAACACAAACAAACAAACAAACACACACACACACACACAAACACGAACACAAACACGTACAAGAAGGTGCAAATACTCAAACACGCACACATGCACACACCTGCGATGACACGCGAGTCACCAGCCTCAAACATGATTGATTGGGCCTCTTTGTTGAGGGCATCAGTCTCCCTACAGTCGCGGAGGATGGCACTGGCAGGCCTGTGGCATCGGAACCTGAACAAGCGATCAACGTATGTCGGGCTGTACTGTGACTCGACGCTGCTCAGGTCTAACACCAAGCACCAAGATCAGGTAACAAGGTGGTGAAAAGTGAGTGCTGTGCAGCAATAGCAACCAAAACTCAGGCACACATCTGCTCAAGTGCACAAGTGAAGGCTCACACACTGTAGCTAGATCGACACATGCGATCACACAAACATTTTTCGCACATTCACACACACACACACACATGCAGGCACGCACAGCACACATGCACACATGCACACATGCACACATGCACACATGCACACAGACGCGCGCATCAAACAAGCTGCTTACAGTGGTTGTCGGGGCATCGAAAGGATGTGTCACGACGAAAGAGTTGTGCATCATAAGGCCCGGAGACGCTCACGCCCGTGGTGGTACCCGTGCCGATCGTCTGGCAATGGAAGTTAAAGCTGCGGTCCAAATCGTTCTCCGAGAACACAGAGGCCAGGGACGTTAGGCCAGCGCCATCGTTGCACGCCGAAGTGGAGGTGTCGCTGGTGCCTTGCACAAGCACGGTAGCGAGAGCCAGGCAGCAAAGCAGCGCCACCTCACACCACGCCGCCAGCTGCAGCTGCGATGGCTGCTGCATCATCCCCTCGGTTGTTGATGGCGATGAAAGCAAACGCTGGAAAGTGGTGCGGTGAGTGCTCTGTGTGTGTGTGTGTGTGTGTGTGTGGGTGGGTGTTCGACTTAGAGCTTTGTATGGGGGCGGTGTCTGTTTGTTTGTTTGCATTTCGATCACGCGATTGCCGCCGTTGCGTGGTCGCCGACGGTGGCGTGAGGGTGGGTTGAACTGCAGAAACGCGGAACGCAAGGCGTCGAGTGGGTTGCCGATCGTTGGCGAATGGACCACCCTCATTACTCGCGTTAGTGCGGATTGAAGGTCTTGCGACTGAATTGACGAAAATTAACTGATAATATATGCAATACTGCAGACTACTTGCCCAAAAAATGCTCGAGCAACGATAACGACAGGATTGCCTTGCTTCTTGCGTGAGTGCGCAACAGCCACACCCATCCGCCAGCGTTGCCTGCTGACGTTGTCGCGAAAGCCCACACGACGATCACGCCACTCCCAGCAACCTCAACTGGACCACACCCAGTCACATTCATCCAAACACAAACAAACAAACAGAAGACAACACAAACTACAGGTTCATTCTTCATTTGGTTGCTTGGCCATTCACCAAGCAGAGTGGGCAGGGCCACGAATCAAGATCATGACGGTGCCACAACCAGCAGCGATCGCGTTGGTGCTGCTGGCAATGCTCGTCGCACCACCACCAGTTCACGCCGTCACGTACTCGAACAACTTTGTGAGTGTGCAATTTTCTGTGTGTGCTATTGTGTGTGTGTGTGTGTGTGTGTGTGTGTGTGTGTGTGTGTGTGTGTGTGTGTGTCGTCTGTCTGTCTGTTTGTTGTTGTTCTGTGTGTGCTTTTGTGTGTGCGTGTGCCTTTGTGTGTGCGTGTGCTTTTGTGTGTGCGTGTGTTATTGTGTGTGTGTGTGTGCGTGTGTTATTGTGTGTGTGTGTGTGTGTATGTGTGTGGTGGAATCCTTTTCCCACAAGCGCCAGCACAAACCCACCCTGAGTACGTTAACGCGACACCCGCTGCCTTGTTAACCTTCTTCCTCGTCTTACAGGACCAACCTCTCAGCTACAATTGCCCCAGTGGCCAAGGCATCAGCCAGATCTACAGCTACCACGACGTGCGTGTGCTAACACAGCACATGCTGCGAATGCACATGCGTCCTCAACACCTGCTGAAGTGTGTGCGTGCACGAGTTCCTTCCGTTCTCTTCTTCCCATCACTTGATAGACTCACCTAGCCTGCATTTTCCCTCTTTCTCTCCCTTTGCCTTCGTACCTTCATGTGGTGTGCGACAGAATGGAAAAGAGGATCGCCGCTGGGGGTTTGAGTGCACCTCGTATGGGGCTGGTGCCTCGAGTGTAACCACAACCACAAATTACCTCAACAACTTTGACCAACCCGTGGACTATCTCTGCAACACAAACCAATGTGCGATCCATGTGTGTGTGTGTGTGTGTGTCTGCGTCTGTGTTTGTGTGTCTATGTGAGTGTGCGTTGTGGAAGTGAGCCCGTTTACGTGGGTGTCCTGTGTCAGTGACTCACCTGTTCTCTCGCCAGACTTGGTTTCGCTCACAATGATTTGCCCAACCATTTCCTATCCGCAGTTCTCGACGGTGTTTACAGCTACCACGATAACGGCCCAGGTGTGTGTGTGTATGTGTGTGTGTGTGTGCATGCTTGCTTTTGTTATCTCTGTCATGATCGCACCGATTCAAAAATACATCGTTCATCACCAACCCCTGAGTTGATGCCTGTCACCGCTCACCTCCCCGTCTTCCATACATGCATGTGCACGTGTGGCCGGTGTTGCGCTGATGTACGCTTCTGTTTTCCATGTGTTGTCCTTGCATCTCGTGGCGTTTGCAGAGGACCGCAGGTGGAAGTTCAGGTGCCGCGGAGTTATTGGCGCAAAGCTCACCGGCTGCGCAAAGACGTCGTATCAGAACAACTACGGTAATGCCTGCTTGTGTGATCGTGTGCTTTCCTGCTTACTTACGCGCACGCACGCATGCATGCCTGCTTGCCTGCACGTTGCAACACACCCGCCAACCCTTGCAACAATAACATCGACCATCACACAAACAAGACCTCACACAACACCACATGACCAATCCTCAACCCCCACGCTCCAATCATGCCACAACTATCAAATGCAGACCAACCAATCAGTTTCACCGTTCGCGACGGCTACGCCATTGGTGGTAGGTGTATGCTGTATGTGTGTGCACGCACGCTGATGCGAGTCTGTATCCGTGTATATCTTCAAGATGGCTTGCTCTGACTTGCTTCCTGACAACCGCTCCTCTCTTTAATGCGTGTCGATTCGCCCTCATGTCTGCCCTTTCCTTTGGTTCTGTGCTGCACGGTACAGGTCTGGCAAGCGTGCACGACAACGGCCCAGAGGACCGTGTGTGGCAAGTGTATCAATGTCAGGTGGGTACGCAACACTACGCTATCACCATTTACTGAAACCACAACACGGCCATCACCACTCCCACTGCAACCACAACGAACGCCACCCGCGTTCACTTTCCCCGCTCGAATGCTTCTTCGACTACTGCTTGCTGCTGAAAGTGATGAGACGGTAATGGTTGGCGAGATGGATATACACAGCCGCAACACTGTGTCGCAACACTCACCCACGTTGCTCGCCATGCTGTGCGTACACACGACTGCATTGCTTCGCTGCTCGCAGATTGACTGTGACTCTGACAACGGCTACGTGAGCAGCGGCACGTTTGGCTGCGAAAGTGAGTGGTGACACTTAGCATGCGCGGTGTGTGCCCCTGTTATCGCTCCATGCGATGGCAACTCCCTTTCTCACTGTATCCTCTGTCATACACGTGATGTATAAATGCCACTGTGCACATGTGTCGCGTTGTCCAGAGGTGAGCTGCGGTGCGCTATCGCTGACCAATGGCGAGACCAGCGGCGACTGCAGCGGAAACTTTGGTCAGTTGCAGCACACGATGCACACGATACGACAGTCCCTGAACGTGTGACGATGACCTTGTGTGTGTGTGTGTATTGGTGGCGCATGCATGGCAGAGTGCACCCTGTGTCAGACGCGCTGACAGACTGTGGTGCGACGCTTTCTTTCTTCTCCGACACAGCACATGCCTACACGCGGCAATGCCTTACTTTCTCCACACAACATGGCATGACACGACCCAAAATTGGTGCACGCACGGTCAACCACTGACTTGGTGAAACATTCAGGTGACAAGTGCACGTACAAGTCGTGCAACGCCGGTTATGAGCTGTCGTCCTCGGGCAGCTTTGGTGCTCGCGAGTGCCGCGTGATTGGCGGAAAGGGCTCGTGGTCCGGCTCCCCGCGCACGTGCGATGACATCAACGAGTGTACCTCTGGCACCCATGACTGCGTCTCCCCCGCCAAGTGTGTAAACGACGCTGGCACGTTCCATTGTGACTGTCCTTATGGTGCCCTGGACGCCACCGGCAAGAAATGCGATGGTACGCACATGCAACAAGCGTTCGTGCGTCTGTGTGTCTGTGTGTCTGTGTGTCTGTGTGTCTGTGTGTCTGTGTGTGTGCGGCTTTGTGCACTGGCAGTGACTTCATGTTCACAACATTCACTTGAGCGTTCTGTTTGCACCTCATTACTGTCCACCTTCTTCACGTATGTTCTGTGTCTTATCATGTGATCTTGGGTCTGTCTGTAGTTGGTGGCCCGTCCGCCACCATAACCGCCAGTGCGCTTGAAATCAGCATGGCCATATCGGGTGCAACAGCGTTCCCAAAATACGAGGTATGGCAGTATGACGCGGCATGAAGCGTGCCACACATACATGTCTTTACACGCGAGCGAGTGTTGCACTCCAGTCGTGGTGGGACTGTGTGTGTATGTGTCTGTCTGTTACATGTGTGTGTGTATGTGTTTGTCTGTTACATGTGTGTGTATGTGTTTGTCTGTTGCGTGTGTGTGTATGTGTGTGTCTGTTGCGTGTGTGTATGTGTTTGTCTGTTGCGTGTGTGTGTGTGTGTGTGTGTGTGTGTGTGTGTGTGTGTGTGCCTATCTGTGTGTCTCGCGCGCGTTCCTTTCTCTCCCCTTTGTCTCCGTTTACCTGTGTGTGAATACACGTGCAGTCAACACACGTGCGGTGAACACACGTGCGATCAGACGCGCATGATTGCGCACCGTTGTGCATCCACCCGTTCACTCGCGTGCTGTGTCTCACCCTGTGCTCTATTGTGTTCTTGCATTCGTTTCGACCACACAGCTCTCAATCGGGCAGTGGGCCTTTGACCTGTCCCAGACCACCATCCTGCCAGACTATCCAGTCACCCTCAACGGTCCCCTCACATCCCGCTCCTTCACAAACCTCAACCCAGGGCGACGATTCCAGGTTGGTATTGTCAATGTGTGTGTGTGTGTGTGTGGTGTACGTGTGTATGTCAGTGTGTGTGTATGTGCGTGTGTGTGTATGAGAGTGTGTGTTTGTGTGTATGTGTATGAGTGTGTATGAGTGTGTGTGTGCCTGTTTGTACATGTGCATCTATGTATACACCCTGATCTTCCCTTATTGCTGTTCTGTTTGCACCCTCACACCAAAACTCATCACTGCCACCACCACCAACACCACCACTCAAACACCCAACACCGCTCACTCAACAACGATGCAACTGTAGATCATGATCACGCCCATTGACAATGACGGCAACAAGGTTCCGGCGTCACAGTACGTCGGTGGTGATTCGTCTGGCGACATCTCCACCTACTGCGGCTGCACGACAGCGGACACAACGGGCGCGCCAACCGAGCTGTCCCTAACGCAATCCTACGGCAAGGTGCTCTTCGCATGGACAGACCAGAGCTACTGCGAGTCTGGCTTCAGCTTCAACCGCAATGGCGTGGGCCTCTCTGCCAACTACGATGTCACCTCGGAGAAGGAGTGCGGTGGTGAGCACAAGCCAACCAATGTCTACGATGATCTTGCTCTGCAAAAGGATGATGTGTATTCATCCATCGACGACAACATGTTCTACGCGCTGCCCGAGGGCTCCATCTTTGTTCCCGTCACACTTCCAGCCGGCACCCGCTATGCATACCCCGCCGAGCTCATCGAAGGTGTGTGTGTGTGTGTGTGTGTGTGTGTGTGTGTGTGTGTGTGTGTGTGTGTGATCGTGTGTGATCGTGTGTGATTGAGTGTGTGAGTGTGTGAGTGTGTGCGATATGTATGTGTGTGCGATATCTGTGATTTGGTTTTCAGGGTTATGTGCTGTCCGTCTTGCAAATTGCAGCTTCATCTTCCTCCCCCCCCCCCACCCAACACAACACACACGCTCACACATATACACGTTTTCACGCACACACACGCAGGGGACCACTTTGCGTCGCCGTCAGTGTCGACGCAAGCAGCTGTGACAACGCACACGACAACAACAGCAGCAGAAGCAGTGACCACCTCGACCACAGACGGGAACCTTGACGTCACAACATCCGCCCATTCTTGGACAACACCAGTTGTTGGAGGAACGACGCTCGGCGAAAACTACTTTACGCCACCAGCCAACACCGTTCCCACGACAACCACCACACCGCCAGGTGACAGCGACCAAGAAGCCGCAACAACCACCACCCCTGCAAATGCCCTGGAGACAGAGTACCTCACAGGCACGTCCACGGTCGTGTTCACTGCGCGCGAGTGTGCTGATCTGTGCATCGAGCGGGCAGAGTGGTGCATCGCCATCACGGTGCAGGAGCGCACGGACGGTCAACTGGTGTGCCACCAGCTGCGCCTCATCCGCTACACGGGCATGTCCCAGGACGACGTGTCTGTGCAGACGCTGCGCCGTGTCGATATCACAGGCACGGGTGTTGAGGGCTCCTACATCTTCCAGGGGTCCAAGAGCGATTGCGAAACCGCGTGCTCCAAGACAGAGGATTGCGTCATGACGATCCTTGACAAGCAGTTTTGCGCAACTGCTAACACGCGTGTGGCCACGATGGTCAACCCCAACACGTACGACCAAGACCTGGTCCCCGAGTACTACCGGCGTTACGTCGGCACAGCGCCAGGCCAGCAGCTGAAGTATTGCGTGCTGGCCACCAACCCCATTGACTACTCTGCAAGCGGATACAGCTCAAAGGAGACGTGCGAGTACCTCACGGTGCAGGTGCGTCGCTCGCATGTTGTACTGCGGTGTGTTGTGCCCTTGAACGTGCTTGCACGGGTGTGTGTGTGTTTTGTGTGTTTTGTTGTGTTGTGTGTATCATGTGTTCATGTGCATGTATGTATGCACAAGTACGCGTTCGTTGACGATAGCTCTTTCCTACCACACACGCACACACACACACACATACACACACGCACAAACACACACACACATACACATACAGTGGGAGGCTGCTGTTCGGGGCCAAGTCACAATTGACTCTGAGGAAATTCACCTGCCTGTGGATGGCGTCACCATCGAGTATGAAATCGGTGATGTGAAGGGCACGCGCACAACGGACGCTGACGGCTTCTTTGAAATCCACGTCGAGACAAACAAGATCACCCGATCCCACGCAACCGTGACGCTTCGCTTCTTCAAGTCAACTGGTAGTATCCAGCACACCTTCTCTTGCGGCGGCATGCCCTGTACGGAGACCAAGCTCATTGTTGAACACCTTCGTTTCGACCACCAAGTTGACATCCGTGACACGACTTCCATGCCCTTCTCGGGTCGCGTGACCATCAAGGGTACAGAGCACCCTGGCTTCCCAGCAGGCTGCCCGCTCAAGGACGTGGAGGTGTGCCTGTACGACCGCAACCAGGGCGACTACGTTGTTGGCTGCGCCATCACGGACGCCAAAGGTTACTACACAGCACAGGCGGTATTGGGCGCCTCTGTCGGCGTGCGCCTCTCGTTTGGTAACTCCTCGCACACCTTTGAGCGCGCTGCATACACGGACAACACGCCTAACGCACCCAGTGGGTTCTTCATCCGTCAAGACCCCGTGACAAGCAGAGACGTCAAGACCCCCTACTATGACATCACCGAGGAGAAGCTGTGGGAACGCATCAACTTCCAGGACATCACCACCAACGAGGCGACAGTGGATGTGGCGGGCGGCAAGTGCAACCTGGTGCTGGGGCGCACCACCCTTGAGTTCCGGTACGACAGCTGCCCAACGTGGGTGCGAACAGAGCACACGACGCAGCGCATCTCCAAGTGGACGCTGCCTGCACACCGCATTGCCGTGCGGTTTCAACGGCTCGTGCGCGACGGAAACGTGCGTGAGGAGATTACGCGGTACTTCTCTGCTGCGATTGATGACTCGCGCTCGCTGTATGTTGAGCTGCAGGACCCAAAGAACACGAACCAGACACTGAAGACCGCCCGGTTTGAGTACCACCCGCCGCCGCAGCTGGGCATCAGGTTCACAGGGGAGGTGAAGAACAACTGCACGTACAGCGACCACACCCCATACCACGTCATCAAGCAGAACACGCAGTCGCAGGTCACCATCACCGTGACAGAGTACTATGGTGCTGGCGTGGGCACGTGCGACATTGTGCCCGGCGAAGTTGTGATCACCAACCATCTTGGCGAGTCCCCAGACACTGTCGCTGCGCTCAACGGATCGTCGTCACTCACCAACACGCAGCTCAACCTCTTGAAAGAGTGCTACTACCCGTGCACAAGGCACGTCATCATGGACACCACGTCCACGGCAAAGGGTGACGTGCTTTCCAACTCGCGCGTGGAGCTGGTTGTGCTCACGGGATCGCCGGAACTCAACGCACAGGTCCTGGACAGCGAGCACCCGTACACCAAGCTCTTCAGCGCCACCATGCACAACAAGCCATACGACCCCGTCACGGACGTGGTGCGCGTTGTCGTGACGGGTGACGTTGCGCTGAAGCCACTGGCATCCATCCCCTTCCCGCGCTACAAACCGCTGTTGGTGGTGCAGGACCCGCCTGGTGGCCTGTCCTCTGCTGCGTACTCCAATGTGTACGCCAACTACAAGATGGAGAGCGACACGTACGACGAGTATGGTGGGTTCTTCCTTGGGCTTGAAGTGACGCCCTTCAAGGTGGACGCCACACTCGACTTGTGTGTGGGTCTCGGTGCTGCCAACTGCATCAACCTCGTCACAGCAAAGTCCTCGCCAGTCACCATCATGGCCGAGACAACGAACCTGTTTGGCACCAAGGATGCGGATGACAACGAGGAGACGGGGAAGGTGTGGTCGTTTGAGATTGATGTGGCCACGAGCGAGGCTGCGGTGCTGGCTGGTGAGCGCTCCGACATGTTCCTTGTGCCGGCTCTCAACGTGGTGTTCCTGGACACGTACACCATCTCCTTCGACAAGGCCACGTGCGGCGCGTCAAAGTCGAAGCGAACCAAGTGGTCGCTGGCGTCCAAGGAGAACAGGGAGGTCATGTCCTGGCTGTCGGCATACGAGATTGAGACGAAGGAGCTGCCAGACCTGCGTGCACGCCTGGCCAACACGGCCAACAACGACACGGCCGAGCAGAAGGCGGAGCTGCGCAACGCAATCACGGCCTGGGAGAACAACCTCAAGCGCAACAAGGACGTGCGGGCGATGGCTGGTGCAGGCTCGCTCAAGTCTGTGCAGTCGCTGTGGGCGACAGATGACTTTGATCACGCCGACGCAGACAACATTGACGGGGGAATGGGCAAGGGTATTGCGCTTGCACCGCACAAGCTCATTGAGCAGGCGAAACAGCTCTCTGGTGCGACAGCAACGGAGCAGCAGCAGACTTCTCTCAAGGCCATCAACACGATCAAGTTTTCCGGAGGTGTTGTTGTTGTTGTTTAAGTTGTTGTTTTGCAGTTGTTGTTGGTTGTTGTGACTACTAATCGCGTCACTGCCTATCAATGCACGCGCACATGCGTGTGTGTGTGTATGTGGTGCGTTGTGTGTTGTGTGTGTGTGTGTGTTTGCTTGTCTATGTGTGACTATAACAGCGGCGGATTGCCTAGAAATCAATCTACTTCGCGCGCGTGAACCTCCAACTCGTGCACACTCGAGCAAGTCTAGCACCCACACAATCTTCCTCACCCCCGCATGTCGTGTACACTTTGTCTTGTGTCTGCTGTCTTCGTGTGTACAGGCGGGTCAACCTACACGTTTGCATACGACACAAGCTTGGACAAGTCTGCGACGTCCGGCACCATGCGGGAACACGAATTCAAAGGTGGCGCTGCTATTTCACACGAGTTCACGGGCTCTGGTATTGGCACCGAGTTCAAGATCACTCCCCTTGGCATTGGCAAGTGGGAGGCATCCTCCGAAGACCAGGAGGGCTATCAGCTCGAGGAGCACGTCGAATTCACGGTGTGTACACGTGTGTGTGTGTGTGTGTGTGTATGTGGGTGGTGTGTGTGTGTTTGGATGTGTGTGTTTGGATGGGTGTGTCTGTGGATGGGTGTGTCTGTGGGTGTGTTTGGATGCGTGTGTCTGTGTGTGCTTAGTCAGCCATCTCTTGCTGCAACATCTTCTCCTCTCCTCTCCTCTCCTCTCCTCTTCTCCTGCATCGTCACGACAGGCCACCTGCTCACCTCCATCCCACCCCGCCGCCACCACCACCACCACCACCACCACCACCACCACCACCACCACCACCACCACAACAACAACAACAACAACAACAACAACAACAACAACAACAACAACTTAAACAACAACAACAACAACAACAACAACAACAACAACAACTTAAACAACAACTTAAACAACAACTTAAACAACAACTTAAACAACAACTGCCCCCGCCGGCATTAGCTTGGAGACGATGACCCGTTTGATGTGTTCGACGTGGAAGTGTTCAAGCACCCCGACTTCAACACGCTCGTGTTCCACACGGCCTCTGGCCAGTCGTCATGCCCACACGAGGAAAACACGCTTGAGCTTGAAAAGCCAGGCATCTCCGTGCTCGAAGCGCCATCTGCACCCGTACTGCCTGACGAACCGGCCGTGTTCCGCCTGCTGCTGAGCAATGACGGCGACTACACGACGTACATGCAGTTGTACGCCGTCAACGGCCAAAACCAGGACGGCCTGGAGATTAGCGTTGACGGGCGCTCGCTCGTGGCACCCATCGACTACGTTGGCTTTGCGCCTGGCGCGACGCAGATCACCGTGATTATGAGGCGCGGGCCCAAGGTGTTCAAGTACGACCCGGTAGACCTCTGGTTCTCATCGCTGTGCGAGCAGGAACGGCTGGCAGACACGGGCTACCTGAGCGACGAGGCCGTGGCCCAGAAGCGCGTGACACTGCAAGTGGAGTTCCTGCAGCCGTGTTCACCGGTACAGCTGGTCGGCGCCATTGGCGAGGCGGGCACGTTTGTAGTCAACGCTGCGACGGACCAAGCAACTTCGGGCACCACAGACGAGACGAACCTACACCCTGGTGAGCTGCGCCTGGTGGCATTCAACCCGGACCACTCGAAACGCACGTGGCAGGAGGATGATCGCCTCAAAGGCGTCATTGTTGAGTACAAGCGGCACATTGACGGCGACACGGCGTGGATGCCTGCCCGCGACAAATCAGGCAACACGCTTGAGATCAGCGGCCAGGCCAACGAGTACGGCTATGTGACGGTGTGGTGGGACGTGAGCGGGTTGCTGGAGGGAGAGCATGACCTTCGCATCAGGGCGCGCTGCGAAAAGTCCATCAACCAGGTGCCGGATGGCATTGATGAGCAGTACTCGCAGGTGGCGTTTGGGGTGGTGGACAGGACACCACCGCGCGTGCTGGGCACCCCTGAGCCCGCAGACGGCGAGTACAAGCCTGGTGACATGATTTCGTTTGAGTTTGATGAGGCCATCCAGTGCTCCAAGCCGTTCCAGTTTGAGGTGCGCATGGAGGTTGACGGCTTGGACCGCGTGTTTGACAACAGCAACATGGTGATTGTGTGCGAGGGCCGCAAAATCGCCATGTCGCTTCGCCGCGGGTTCACCTGGGACGACGTCAACGCAAAATCTGCACAGCTCGCACTGGGCATGGTCACCGACAAGTACGGCAACGCGGTGCAGCAGAACATCATGTTGTTCTTCACCTTTGCCACGCTGTCCCTGCACGACGCCACCGCACACGTGTCCGGCCTGAAGCTGAAGACGGCGTTTGACCGCGCCTTCTACAACACGTCGTCGCCTCTGTACAAGGCAACGGCAAACAAGGTGCGCAGCGACATTGCGCACGCACTTGGCATCAACCCCTCCCGCGTCATGGTGGTTGGCCTGTCGCCCGTGGACAGCATTGAGTTTGACCGCGGCACGCACGTCGACATCAACTTCCTCCCCGCGTCGGCCAACACTTCATTCCCCGCAGGTGCACCGGCTCTCAATGCGCGGCGAAGAGAGACAACGGCAATAGAGCAGACACCTTCAGCACTGGCCACGATGCTTGAGATGGTGGTTGCTCGCCCTGATGCTGCTGGTCTGGAGGAGAGTAATGTGCTGCTGCAGCTGACGGCTGACTCACGCGTGGACACGGAGCTCACAGCAGCAGCCATGTACAACACCACCACCACGCCGTTTTCCGTCACCTTTGAAGGGTCCACGTCCTCCGACACGCCCCACGAGATCAAAGTTCCAGTTTGTAAGTTTGTGGTGTCATGGGTGTGGGTGCTCTGTGTGTGTGTGTGGGGGGGGGGGTTGCGAGTGTGTGTGTGGTTGCGCGTGTGATGCGTGATTGTGTGTGTGTGGGGGGGGGGGTTGCGAGTGTTTGTGGGTGGTCTGTAATTGTGTGTGTGCGGTGTGTGAGTTTGTGATATGTGCACAGACACGCGATTGAATGTGGAAATGCTTGTGCACGTGTGATTGTTGCGGCTGCCACTCACCCTCTCTGCTTGCCACTACCCCGTGATGTTTCCAACACACACACACACATACCACAGACTTTACTCTGGCGCTGCTGTTTGTGATCCTGGGCGTGCAGGTTGTCACGTGCCTCCGTGTTGGTGGCGGTACGGGCCGAAGGTCCTACAAGATGCCGGGGTCCTTCCGCGTGTCGCCGGAGCATCGTCCCATGTCTCATATGAGCGGACTCAGCGCAGCCACCACACTTGAGGAGAGGGGTACACATGTTCATGAGACGGCGGTGGATGTCGACCCCCACGCCGATCATCCTGGCAGCAGCTTTGAAGAGAATCCACGTTCCCTCGGCACCACAAATGCCTGATCAAGCCCCTGTGTGTGTGTCTGTGTGTCTGTGTGTGTGTGTGTGTGTGTGTGTGTGTCTGTGTGTGTCTGTGTGCCTGTGTGTGTGTGTGTGTCTGTGTGTGTGTGTGTGTCTGTGCGTGTGTGTTACGTGTGTTGTGCTCATGTGTGTGCGTGTGTGCGTGTGTTTGGCCCGTTTACTACACTCAATGTTGGCATGGTTCACGTACCTCTTTCGCTTCCCAAGCGTGTGACCATCAATTTCCTTCGTTGTGTTATCACAAAAGTCTCGCCTTTCCTCAGCCTCATCTTGAGCGAGGAGTACATCGGTGAATGCACATGCTGTTCCAGTCTTGTTACCGCTCAATAGAACAGCCAAGCCTCTCATCGCACACGACATGTGACCATGTGTGTGCCCGTCTGTCTGTATGACCGTGGTCTTGTGTGTGTGTGTGTGTGTGTGTGTGTGTGTGTGTGTGTGTGTGTGTGTGTGTGTGTGTGTGTGTGTGTGTGTGTGTGTGTGTGTGCGTGTGTGTGTGTGTGTGTCTGGTAGAGTTGTCTTGTAATCTTGTTTCATCGTGGAGATGATGCCATGTGGCTGTGCTTCACCATCAAGTCAACACACTGTGCTGTTTAATGGGGGTTGGAAAACCGGGATGCTGGTGGCGATACAGAACAAACGCACAAGAAAAGGCTGACATCACGCAACGAAGACAGATTGGAGGTGTAACACGCCATGTTGTTCACGCAACGCACGACGCACGACTCACAGTGCATACAAGCATGTGTCCGTGTGTCTGTGTGAGTGTTTTGTGCGTGCATGTGTTCAGAGTGCGTACTCCTTGAGCAGCTTGCCTGCAATCACCAGGCGCTGGATCTCGCTTGTGCCCTCGTAGATCTCCGTGATGCGCGCATCGCGGTAGTGCCGTTCGGCCGGCATGTCCGTCACAAACCCCATCCCTGGTGGATGGCATGTGCGTGTGTGTACGTGTGAGGATGACGTTTGTCTGTGTGTGTGTGTGTGTTGTGCATTCAAGACGGCAGTGGCAACCCACACTTCACGCACGCACACACGCACGCACGCACACACTCACAACACAACAAGCACACACACACAAAAAAAAACACGCACACACACACACACACGAAACACAGGCATGCACACACGCACACACACAACACAACACACAACACACACACACACACACACACACACACACACACACACACACACACACACACACACAGCCACTGCGCCCACCTCCGAGGATCTGGATGGCCTGGTGGGCGATGAACGTCGCTGCCTCCGACGCCGCCAGCTTGGCCATCGCGGCCTCCTTCGTAAAGTCCCGGCCCTCGTCCTTGTAGACTGCCGCCTTGTGTGTCAGCAGTCGAGCTGACTCCAGACGTGTGCCCATGTCAGCCAGCTTCTCCGCAATCATCTGGTGGCTCGAAAGCGGGCGCCCCATGCTCTTGCGTTGCTGTTGTGTGTGTGTGTGTGTGTGTGTGTGTGTGTGTGTGTGTGTGTGTGTGTGTGTGTGTGTGTGTGTGTGTGTGTGTGTGTGTAAGCGATCAAGCGTGACAAACTCCGGCATGTTAAGCACATGATTATGTCTCTTCTCAACCCCCCCCCCCAACCACGATGTCCACTGCGCACCTGTGCATACTCGATGGCGCACTCAAAGGCGGCCTGGCCAATGCCCAGCGCCTGCGCAGCGATACCAATCCGGCCACCATCAAGCGTCGCTGGTGGTGATGGTGGTGATGTGGTGAGACTTCAGTCATGTCATCAAAGTGAATACGAACACACACACACACACATACATGCACACACACACACACATACATGCACACATACACACACACACATATACATGCACACACATCACATACATACACACACACATCACACACATACGCACACGATCAACAGGGCCACCGCGATGGCGTGTGTGCAGCGTACCCATTGCAATCTTGAAGCCCTGGCCGCTGCTGCCGAGGAGATTCTCCTTTGGAATGCGGCACTCCTCAAAGATCAGGTTGCACGTGCTCGACGCGCGGATGCCGAGCTGATGGTGGTGGTGGTGATGGTAGGCAGTGCGAGAGAGTGGATGTTGTGGTGATGGTAGGAGGGAGTGGTGATTACAGGCAAGAAATGCGTGTATGTGTGTCTGTGTGTCTGTGTGTGTGTATCTGCGTGCATCTGCGTGTGTGTGTGTGTGTGTGTGTATCTGCGTGCATCTGTGTGTGTGTGTGTGTGTGTGTATCTGTGTGTGTGTGTGTGTGTGTGTCTGTGTGTGTGTGTGTGTCTGTGTGTGTGTGTCTGTGCGGCCATCTATCATGGTGCATCCAACTTTTCAAGTTGCAACAGCACTGCACCTTATCCTCCTTCTTGCCGAGCGTGAGCCCCTCCGTCGGTTTTGGCACCAGGAACGCGCTGATGCCCTGCAAGAGAGAGAGAGAGAGAGAGAGAGAGAGAGAGAGAGAGTGTGTGTGTGTGTGTGTGTGTGTGTGTGTGTGTGTGTGTGTGTGTGTGTCAATACGTGTCAATACGTGTCAACACGTGTCAATTTGAGTGAGACAGTGTGTGCGTGTGAGCGAAACAATGACAGACAAGCAATTCCCCACCCCCTGCGCACGCACAGACACACAGACACGCGCAACAATTTCTGCGTGCGGCCGAGACCTTGTGCTTGAGGGATTTGTCCGTTGTGGCGAAGACGACAGCAGCATCCGCCTCGTAACCTTACACGCACACACACACACATACACACACATACACACACACATACACACACACATACACACACATACACACACATACACACACGTACACATACACACGATGTGCGGCCACGATGGGATCACGGCGCAACGAGTCGGTGAGCTTTGCGTGCTGTCGACAGCGCACCCGGCCATGCATCCACGCAGGAGAGTTTGCACTGACAGCGCTTGCGCGACAAGTGTACGACCGCACAGCCAGGGAACGCAACAAGTCGGGAGGGAACGCGACAAGACCACACGTCACGACAACGACAACGACAGTGACAGCAACAGCGTACCGTTGGTGATCCAGGACTTGGTTCCATTCAGCACCCTGATCGGAACAACACGATGCGAAGGTGAGGAGGAAGCATAGCACACATACACACACACACACACATACACACACACAACGCAGCAAAGCAGCAAAGCAGCAAAGCAGCAAAGCAGCAAAGCAGCAAAGCAGCAAAGCAGCAAAGCAGCAAAGCAGCAAAGCAGCAAGCAGGGACGTCTGACCAGTGGTCGCCTTCGTCGCGGGCAGTCGTGGACGCAGCGCCAGCATCACTGCAAAACACACACACACAGACACACAAACACGCACACACGCACATACATACACACACGCACAGATACAACCAAGAGCAGTGATGAGTTGAGACACAAGGCTTCAAGGTGACATGATGGTGATTCATTCGCCAACGACAAGCAATTTCAATTGCAAATTGCAATTGCAATGGCAAGGAAGCAAGCAAAGGCTGTGTTCGCAGTTGCCGTCGCTTGACACATGAACACGCACGCACCTTCCGTTGCCAGGCTCGCTCAGAGCAAAGCAGCCGAGCTTCTCACCTATCCACGCACGCGCAAGCACGCACAACACACGACAGAACCAGATGAGGTGAGTGGTCGAGTATGAACGCGCCAACGCACACAAAGAGAGGTGGTACTACACCTACGCAAGCAGGGCAACAAACTCAAACAATGACCAGCGCCACACATGTCACAACGCACCGGCAGTGAAGGGCTTGAGCCATGTTTCATACTGCTCCTCGCTGCCATACTTGAGCACGGGGCTGCTGTACAGGCTCTGCAAAGCAGAGAAGCGCGAACAAGCACGGGCAAAAAGCGTAAGAGCACGATGGCGTCGTTGCCTGCAAGCAGGCAAACCACAAAACCACAAGTTACAGACCAGCCGCCTTTCACGACAGTTGATGCGTCAATCATTTGCAATGACTCACGTTGTTGACGGACATGATGACGCCGGCGGAGGCACAGCCGCGGGAAATCTCCTCCAATGCGACGGCATATGCCAGTGCATCCAGGCCGCTGCCGCCATATTCCGTCGGCACCTCGATGCTCATCAACCCAAGCGACGCCATCTCTTGAACCTGCAAGTATGTGATGGGCGGGTGAAACGTGAGATAGTGAAGAGGAGATATCGAGAGACCGATGAGGTGAAGAGAGACAGGGAGAAAGGAGGAGGAGGAGGAGGAGTGATGCTCGTGGCTTTGAAGTGTCGGTGGCAAGCGGTGGCATGTGTGACGGCGAACTGAACAACCCCCGGTTCCTCTTCCTCTCACCGCATCGGCGGGGAACGTGTGGTTCTTGTCCCACTCTGGGGCGCCTTTGACAAGCACGGCATCGGCAAAGTCGCGGCAGGTCTTTTGCAGCATCTCGTGCTCACTGCTGAGCGTGAATGCACGCACGCATTGCCTACATTGACAAGTCATGAACCACAAACATCACCACAACGCAAGATGTCAGGATTGATCCACGCTGAAAAGCGGAAACAAGCACCTGCAGTCTGATCCCAGTATGTGCGCAGATGCGCATGTGTGCGCATGTGTGTGTGTGTGTGTGTGTGTGTGTGTGTGTGTGTGTGTATGTGTGTGTGTGTGTGTGAACGCCAATCGACCTCACTTGAGCACTGAGGCGGTGCGCCCGCGAACACTGGAAGACAGCATTGCTGGTTGTTGGTTGATTTGTTTGTCTTGGCTGGCTGTAAGGGTTGTGGAGAAATAGCTCAAGATTTCATGCAACTTTCGGCAGCACAGTGGCTATGGTTGTTGTTTGCGTGTTGTTTGTTTCTGTCTTTGTGTTGTTCTGTCTTTGTGTTCTTGTGTTGTCTCTGTCTGCCTTCTTGCTTGTCTGTTGTGTTGCTGAGTGAGTGTTTGTCACCCATCACACACACACACACAACCCCATATGCGCAGCAAAGCACAGCTTTTATCGAAGAATGCCAATGGTAACACGGGCAATGAATGGGAAGCAAAGTGGCGCGAACACTGGCGAGGAAAGGGAAGTAAACTGCAAACGGCAAACGGCTGGCATATAACCGAGATCCAGCCAACAATGGAGGCGAGCAAGAGTTAAGACATGCTCGTCACCAGCGAAGCTTCAAGGGGCTTTAAGAACGAACTACATCTGCGAAACGAGCGAAGGGTAAAATCACGAGACCCAAACTGACGCAACAACAATACTATGAAAATAACGTGTGATGTTGTGACATGACAGCATGCGAATGCAACAAACAACAACAAGCAACACACTGGAACTTGACAACACAAAGCCGCGAGTGCGACATCGCAACATGATCAACAAGTCGCGTCAAGAACAGAGATAACGCAAGCCATTCACAGGTCGTGTAAGGACAACTGAAAAGACGCTGCTATGCAAGTGTGTGTGTGTGTGTGTGTGTGTGTGTGTGTGTGTGTGTGTGTGTGTGTGCGTACGACAGTGTGTGTGTGCGTACGACAATGTATGGCTGCAGGAATCAAACAAGGGAACAAGGCCGCGGAGAAGTCGAGGAGGAACAACGACGCAGTCTATGTGCAGGTGTGTCTGTGTGCGCATGTGTGTGGGACCGACAAGAGGTGACAGCGGGCATTGCACCCATATCTGACTGACCAAGTCAGTCTTCGTCCACATTCATGGGCACAGGGTGTGAACGGCTGACCCAGCTGCTGCTTCTCCTAGCACAAGCATCACCATCATCTCTGGTGTGCATGTCGCCGCCTTTGTGCTCATCTTCCTCGAGTCGGTCGTGCTGGTGGTGCTGTTCCTGTTCATCGTGCACGAGAAGCTGCTGCTCGCTGTGATCAGCACCATCACCGCCACCGACAACAACAACAACCTCATCATCATCATCAGTACCATCAGCACCGTCACCGCTATCGTCCTCCTCCTCCTCGTCTGTCTCGGATGTATATGCGCGCTTGCGCGGGTTTGGGTCGTCGCTGACACACGACGCGGAATCACTGTCATATCCGAGCATGCGATACGCGCGCTCCACCTCGTTCATCGCCTCCCTCTCCATCGAGCTGAGCTGGGGGATGCACCCCGGGTTGACGTAGCCGCGCTCACGCACAATGAACCGCTTTCGCAGCTCAGGCAGGTCTTCGAGGTAGCCTGGTATATGCAATTGGGAGGGGGGGATGTGTGGATGTGTGGTGGATATGTGAGGTACCGTGTGCAAAGGGTGATGTGGGGAGAGGAAGAGGGAAGATGGAGAGGGAGGATTGGGAATTTGACACACTCTTTCCATGCCAGAGCAATGACACAGTCACACACACACACACACACACACACACACACACACACACACACACAGTCACACACACACACACACACACACAACACACACACACACACACACACACACACACACACAAACACACATTCGCACACACACACACGTATACACAGTCACACGGGTGGTGCCACTGACGTGGGTTGAACTTGTTGAGCCCCTGGGTGATGCACATGAGGACGGACGGGTCGACAGCGAGTGGGGTGGCCGCCGCCTCCTTCAAACTCGACTTGAGTTTCGTATGCAGCCGCTTGTCACGGATCACCCGCTCGTGGTACTGGTGGACGTGGGATATGGTGGTGTGGCAGGTGGTGGTGTGAAGTGGTGTGTGGTGGTGTGAAGGGGTGTGGCAGGTGGTGGTGTGGTGGGAGGTGATCACATGGTGAGGTGATGAGGTGACTAGCTGGTGAGGTGATGAAGGGGAGAACAACACATGAGTGGGGTCTCTGAGAACAAACAAAGGCAGGCAAGCACCTTTGCACACACATACACACACACAGCATACGCACCAGATCAAAGGCCTCTGTGTCGAAATCAGTGAAGAGTTTCGCCTTGAGAATCATGTTCTCCTAACATCCATCGCAAATGACACACGTGAGCAGATGAGACAAGGAGGAAGCGGGGAATGGTGAAATTGCAATAAACGAACAACCAAAGCGTCAGGGCTGCACCACTATTTCACCACAGCATCGCCACACACACACACACACACACACACACACACACACACACACACACACACACACACACACACACACACACACACACACACACACACACACACACACACACACACACAAAACACACACACCAGGTGCCTGAGTACGGTCTGCGAGATCTGCGTCGACTTCTTATAGTTGCGGCCACAATACGCAAAGCACTCGAGGAACTGCCCGCACGGTACGTCAAGCTGCTTGCCCAGGAACTCGCACACCGCCTGCACCATGCACCGTGCACCGTGCACAGCAGACGAGTTGTTGGAGCGTTTGAACAGTGATCAGTAACGTGGCAGCGGTTGAGCGCACGACCGATAAGCCCGCTCGGCAAAACACCATTCGTCCATGAAGAACAAACACTGGCGTCACAGTTCTGTACACATCCTCACAAAACCAGCACCCGGTTAAGACAGAACGGCACAGCCCCGAACATCTCACGATGCGGCAAGAAGAAGTGTGCGTGATGTGAACGAGGTCACACAGGCAGGCAGGCAGACACAGACGCAACAAAGGAAGTACAGCGAAGCAGCAACAACAACATGAGCGGCTTACCGCACAGCGCCGAGCCAACACCTCCTCACAGATGCGGTCAAACAACTCCGAGCCACGCCCCGCGCCAACTATCCTGTACACCGCCCTGCGTGTGCATGTGCATGCGATTGCGGTGTTGCCGATGCTTGTGAGAGAGAGAGTAAGAGAGAGGGGGAGAGAGATAGAGAGAGATAGAGAGAGAGGGGGGGGGGAGAGATGGGAGAGAGAGAGAGAGAGAGAGCGAGGCCGTCTGCGAACTAGCGCAGGGAGCACACAAACACTGTGACATCACATCTCAGTGACACGGCAACAACGACGTCCACCACCACAACGCGCAAACATACTCGAAGATGGTGATGTGCGAGAGCACAGAGTCACGTGTGTCTGGGTCGTAGATTCTGTGCAAGGATCCCAAAACGAGTGCCCAGTCGTCCATGACAGAAGCATCATGTGCATGCTCGCAGTGCTGGTGTTCGTGCTGCTGCTCCTGGTGGTGGTGCTCCATGGCTTGTGCTTGGTGTGTCGCTTGTTTGTGCTTGACGTCCATAGAGTTGATGTATCTGAGCTTTCTTGAGTCGTCTTGGATCAAGGAGAGTAGGGTGGAAATATAAGGCAGTTCGACGTGCTGACAAGCAAGTTATGAACAGCAGACGTCGGTTGTCTCACGAAGCAAGGCCGATCAAAGCCCGCTTCTTCCTCACGGCACAGGCAAAGTCACAAACGAAACAAATCCGTGTGGGAGGGAGAGAGAGAAGGTTCGTGTTGCTTGTTGTTTGTGGTTGCGTCGTTCGGGTGCAGAACGAACGAATGTGCATTGTCGCACTGTCTGTTGTGTGTTGGTCGTGCGTTCGTTCCTTCTTCTTCAAATCAAGGCTTGACTATTTACGGAAGATATCAGCAAATCGCCAACACTTGCTATGATCCTAATTCTAGGACGATGTCGGAGTCCAAGGTGCTTGCAAAACAACGAGAGGAAGGAAGCTGACTGTGTTGGTGTTGTGGGGGTGTGGCTTCGCTGCAGTGTGTGTGTGTGTGTGTGTGTGCGACTGTGTATGTGACTGTGTATGCGACTGTGAGTGTGTGTGTGTGTGAGTGTGTGTGTGTGAGTGTGTGTGTGCTCGTCTCTATCCCTCCCTCTCTTCCTCTCTTCCTCTCATTCTCCCCCCCCCTTCTGTCTCCCTCTCTCTCTCTCTCTCTCACCTGTAGTTGCATTCTCACGCGTGTACGTTTCCTCGTGCCTCGTGTGCAGTTCAAACGAGGGGGAAGCCACCGTGGCAGCATCACGGGAGGCGTGGTGCGGCCGGGCCAGCCAAGTGTTGGGCTGCACGCATCCGGGTTTCCGGTCTACCAACACCTCCCAGATCGCTTGGACGAGACAAGCGAAGACTATCGCGATCATGTCGCCACATTTGTCTCCGACATTGACATTTCAAGTCAGTCAGTGCTTGTGTGGAGGGGTGGGGTTGTTTGAGGAAGGGTGTGTTTGATTTTGCGCTGTATTGCGCATGTGCTTTGTGTGTGCTGTGATGTGTGTGTGTGTGCGGTTGTGATGTGTATTTGCTTGTGTGTGTGTGTGTGTGTGTGTGCGTGCGGTTGTGATGTGTACGTGTGTTCGTGTGTGCGTGTGCGTGTGTGTACGTGTGTTCGTGTGTGCGTGTGCGTGCGGTTGTGATGTGTACGTGTGTTCGTGTGTGCGTGTGCGTGTGTGTACGTGTGTTCGTGTAGGCATGTATTCGCGCACTCATGTGCGTGTACTGTTCTGTTTCGGCGTGTCATTAGCCCATGTGTTGTCGCATGAACATAACCGATGCCTGCTGTCACATGTACACCTTTCACTCACTGTAATGCCTGCTGTGAAATGCGCCCCAGAGCTCAAGATGCCGAGTAGCATGACGTTTAGTGAGGAGGGCATTTATGACAACTTGCCAGCAGACAAATCAAACGTATGCGTGCACATGGTGGTGAACCCACAGCTCACGTGCTATGACGCCCATGCCACCGCCCACACACGACGTGTGCTGTTCATTTTCCACTTGTCATCGCAGCCCCAACACACGCGAACTCACGCTCTCTCACGCACACGCAAATGCGTGCATATGCACAACACTTTTCACACACACACGCACGCACACGCACACGCACACACACACCCTTCACTTTATGTCCACTGTTCAGTCGCAGCCGGATCTGCCGTCCAAGATGTCGTATTCGCAGGAAGGCGCCTATGAGACGCTGCCCATGCGTGGAGAGGTACGTGTGCACTGCTAACATTGTGGCGTGTTTGTGGTGTGTGCGTGATGTGTGTGTGTGTGATGTGTGTGTGCGTGATGTGTGTGTGTGTGATGTGTGTGTGATGTGTGATGTGTGTGTGTGATGTGTGCTCCCTGTGTTCTGTGGAACTGTGTTGTGTACAGTAGGTGGACGCCACAGCTGATGACCGCTGCGCTCCACTGCGATGCGTTGGTGCCGTATTCGTGCATTGCAGGAGGAGTACGCAAAAGGACAAACGAATGTCAAGGCGGGAAAACACAAAGCATTCTTGTACGCGTGCTTTTGTGTGTGTGTGTGTGTGTGTGTGTGTGTGTGTGTGTGTGTGTGTGATGCGCGCCACATCACGGCACAACAACACTTTCACGCGCTCGTTTGAACGACAGCTACTGCGTTATGTCTGCAAGTCATGTCATGCCACGCACATACACGCATACACTGCGAAAACAACCACACCCTATGCTCACATTCTCATCTTCCCATGTTCCTTGTTTATTGCTCAATACCACCACCGCCACCACCACCACCACCATCATCATCATCATCATCACCACCACCACCATCATCATCATCATCATCACCACCACCACCACCACCACCACCATCAACATCATCATCATCATCATCATCATCATCATCATCA